TTGGTTATATACATATATATATATATATATATATATATATATATATATATATGTATATATATAATATGTAATATGTATATATATAATATTTATATTATATATATATATATATATATATATATATATATATAACCTTGGGGAGGGGGTGCTTTGCCTGTCATCAGGGCGCAGGTTAAATTTCTTACGTCACAGGATAATTGCCACTCCACCAAATGCCTTGCTGCATGATAGAGCAATAAATCCTATCCAAGCGTCCTGGACACGACCCTATGCTGAAGTGATTCCAGAATAGCATTGTGGGTGAGTGGCAAATACATCAAGGGATAGGAACATCCGTCTTAAAAGGAATGCTATATGTTTGAAGATATTGAAACAACCAGCATATATGATAAAATAAGCCCACGAATAACTCTTGGTATACTTTGAGCTGAAAAAGAATGCTCTAGACAACACAATTTCTCTTTTTTTTTTAGTAAATTCGTCCTCAAAACGTCAACGTCTGATTGCGTCATGGAGCGTTTGTGTGACGTTGAGGTGCTGCCAAACGAGCCGTGCAAAATCTCCTCCCTCGCACTGACTTGTAGTACTTCAAACTCGACGAGAGATGGTAGCACAGTGCTGGGAAAGTACGCCGGGCTAAATATCCCTATGTGCTCGTGTTTTGGCCCCATGATGTTCTTGCATATTTATCCGTGAGGTTAAGAAGTTTGCTCGTATTCACATACACGGTTATAGCGCTTTTTCAAGTTATTCGAGTAAAAGTCTTATTTCCGTGATAGCTAGCAATGGTGTCCTCCCGCCCACAGACGGGTTTCTCTCCGGATTTGACACACTTTTCTCTTCGTTCAAAGTTGAGCGAAGCTGGGGCTCAAATTGTGGCGGCTAAAGCCCCCCCCCCCACAACTGAAAAGGAAACTTCATCCCGTGCAGTACTTTCCAAGTTGCTGATTTTTCAAACGTGACGGCCTGCTTTCAGAAGTAGGGTATTCATGGAGGCACGCCAGCAGATGATGCAGTCACGGGGGCAGAACCTACGGTTTTGTGGGATGGGTCAAAAGCTGTGGTTGACGTCATCGATATGCAGAATACACGAGGAATACTAAAAAGGTGTTAAGAGTGATACGTTACCCTTCACATGAGTATTTTTCCACGCTGATGAAAAGGTCGGAATCGGACCGGACTTGGTCCGAACGGAAGAGGCTAAAAAACATCAGAATGAATCAAAACACGGCTACGGCTGAGGACAAGTGAGGCTGGTGCCAAAGCAACTGCACGACAGTCAAAACACGGCTACGGCTAAGTATTAGTGAGGCTGGTGCCAGAACAACTACACGACGGTCATTTAACCGGACCAGACCGGACCGAATGGAATGGGATCGTGTGGGGCAAATGAACTCATTTCGTGACCCTAAACGTGGATGGTCGAATGTTTTCAAAGCAAATGTTCCCCCGGCCGATTGGGGACCCCTTGTCACACAGGGTGCCGTGGTGGGACCTGTGGGCCCCCGACTGACACAGGGCCATCTTTGTTGCAGGGGCACAGACCAATGCGAGCCGTGACCCCCGCTCGTCCCTGCTTGGAAAGTGAACCCCTAGGGCTCGGACCAATCTGGGGCCGGCTGTGCGGTGTTGTTCGTCTGGTCGGAAAAGGGTCCAAATTGTCCCACGGGTCTCCTGTCGTTGTAAGAGGCCCTCTGACTGACATTTTAGGCCACGGTCCTCTGGTCGGATGTCCTGAGCATGACATAAAGCTAGCTCGTCGGGCCCTCCGCGATTACACTCAGATTCTTGATCTTTAGTCCTGCGGAAACCTTCGGACCCCTCTTTGCTCCTCCCGCTTCGAGACCACTCAAACACGGCCCCTGCCGACTCAGGGGCACTTGCCGACACGGGGCCACTTGCTGGGCACTGTGGGCCGCTGACCGACAATGGGCCTCGCATTGTGTCAGGAGCCCCGGCCAATGCAAACCTCGCCCCCAGGGTTCGGTCCTACTGGGCCGAACACACCTAGGTTTATATCACATAGGTCTATATCACACACGCACACACATAGGTCTATATCGGACCATTATCCGGTGTTGGTAGGATCGGACGGAAATAGAGGCCCACATTATCATAAGGGCTTCTTAATCGGTGCAAGAAGCCCTCTGAGTGACATTTTGAGGTCCTTAATACGACCTACATGAAGCCCTTTGATCGCTTCGTGCCCTTCAGTCTTCCAATCGGTCCTTGAGCGTCGGTCCCGAAACGTTCATCAGGCCCCTGTTCGAGCCCCCTCGAACACTGTCCCTTGCCGAATGGGCCCGTTGCCAACACAGGCCTTCTGTCAGGTACTGTTGGCCCCTGGCCGACACAGGAGGCCCCTCATTGGTCCAGGGACCGCGACCAATGTAGATGCAATGCCTGGGTCAGCCTTTGTTTGGTCCAGCCTAGTCAAACGATGTCCATTTCACACGTATCCCGTCATCTATATCACTTTTCCCTCCCCAGTCCATGCTTGACCTTTTCCATCCTGTCCAGAATGCTGCTCTCCTTTCCCGTTCATTCTTTCTGGTCCGATCCCAACTGAAGCAGACTGGGATGAGCCGGCTAGCCCAGTCTCACTAGAGAGAGCTGGCGACTGGTGTTCACATAAAAGTCTGGTGTCCACAGCGTCAGTCGGGAATTGAGCCCGGACCTCCCACGTTGAAGGCTCCTAAGTGATAAACTTTGTCCCGAATCAGTCCCATTCGGGCCGGCCTAACCGGCTGCATGGTTGTCGCATAGCTGCTCCGGTACCAGCCTTACCTGTCCTTTGGTCCATTCTGATGCTGTTCAGCCTCTGCCGTTCTATTTCGGCCCCGTCCAATCCCGACCTTTTCATCAGCGTGCCAAAATGTCGATGCGAGCGCGTCGCCACCTTGCTTGTTTAGCATTTTGCGTACATTTTTCACATCGCTGGCATCTAACACTGCTTTTGACAGATCCCATTTATGCACAGCTTGTGTCGCCCGTGAATTCATCATTCGCTGGCATGCCCCCGTGAATCTCAGGCCTCCATCGTACCCCTCTCAATGTCCCCCGTGCTAATTTCAGTCATTGGGCCATTCGGCGACGACGGATTTTGCTAGTGGACGGCCACCTTTATGAAAAGTGTCGAATCAGGGCGAGGGTTAAGCGCTTCGCAGCCCCGTGCCAGTGCTTTCCAGTCCTGGGCCGGACACGTGGCGTCTCCTGTGTCTGACATGCGGCCGCTCCAGTGCCGAAAGCGCGCCCACTCTAGTGCTAAGCACACGCTCTCTCCAGTGCTTGACACGTGGCGTTTCCTGTGCCGGACACGCCGCCCATCCTGTGCCGGACACGCGGCCGCTCCACTGCCGAACTGTGCTGACACCGGTGCTGGACGGCCTCTCCTGTGTCAGACACACGGTCTCTCTTGTGCTGAACACGCGGCCTCTTCTGTGCCGGACATTCGACAGTCCCAGTGTTCGAAAATGCAACCCTCCAGCGAGTGACCCACCGCCGCTGCCTTGAGGTACTGGCGCCGTAGGCTCTGTCAATATTTCCAGAGCACTACAGTGGCACAGTACGGGCCGTTGGAGCGAGTATTTCACGTCTTGCTCTATATTTTACAAGTTAAGGATATGTGGTCGTTATATCCCAGATCCACAGCTGGAACATGGGGTGTGCTGTACGTGAATATGCCCATAATAGGATAGCGGACGCATGCTATGTGCGGTTGTGATATGTAAATTCTACGTTTAGAAGTCGCTATCTAGCTCCACAAGCGGCGTTCAAATCAGCATTGCAGCGAAACGCTTAACGAGGTCGTTACATCACGAAATAGCCTCAGCGCCCGAAATCCAAAATAATCAGTTGATCTCGCCCAGCACGGCTCATTACGCAAATATTGACCCACCATCCATGTAAGCCAGACCATAAAATGCGTTAGCCAGTGTTGTGTTTCTGGTTGGTGGTTCTGGATTGGGAATTAAATGTTTTCCAAGCGCAGATTCTAAGGCTTAGTGATCTGAATTTTGGGAACGATGAAAAACTATGGAACTTTATTTCCGACATGACAGTTTTAGCACAGGTCATAGTAGCTATCATATCAAACAGTGTAGCAATTTTCAAATGGATATAACATAGTTTTTAATATCAAAGAGAATGTACAATCTGTCAGCAAAGCGGTGGAGTCCTATTTATGGATGGATTCAACCATGCAAAATCACCGTGCTCATCGTCCTCAAGCCCACTGCCCCGGCCACTCACACACTGAAATTTGCGGCCTTACCAACGGGACTGTTGACATGGCCAGTAAGTTATACTTTGGTGCAAATGAAGCTCTCGAAACGAAAATCTTCGATGTTCAGGACGAATTTCATTTCATCTTTATTTGTTTGGTCTATCGTATTTGGAGTAATGTTGCAGCAGTTTCTGAGAGACGGACTTCAGGCGACGGTTTCGGCTGTTCTGAGTTTCGCCGATGACAAAATACATTTTTTTCTCTGCTGACTGTGGCACCGTGCCGTTTCAGTGGGCAGCCGCCAGTTGGAGTGTTTCGCCGGTGACAAAAGGCGTCTTTTCACTGCTGACTGTGGCACCGTGCCGTTTCAGTGGGCAGCCGCCAGTTCGAGTGCTTCGCCGGTGACAAAAGGCGTTTTTTTCACTGCTGACTGTGGCACCGTGCTGTTTCAGTGGGCAGCCGCCAGTTGGAGTGTTTCGCCGGTGACAAAAGGCGTTTTTTTCACTGCTGACTGTTGCACCGTGCCGTTTCAGTGGGCAGCCGCCAGTTGGAGTGTTTCGCCGGTGACAAAAGGCGTTTTTTTCACTGCTGACTGTTGCACCGTGCCGTTTCAGTGGGCAGCCGCCAGTTGGAGTGTTTTGCCGGTGACAAAAGGCGTTTTTTCACTGCTGACTGTGGCACCGTGCCGTTTCAGTGGGCAGCCGCCAGTTGGAGTGTTTCGCCGGTGACAAAAGGCGCTTTTTTCACTGCTGACTGTTGCACCGTGCCGTTTCAGTGGGCAGCCGTCAGTTCGAGTGTCACCCGATAGACTACTTCCCCCGCGAGTACTACTCGCCGGACGCGACGGACTCGACTATGGCGATACCGAGTAAGGTCGCCTGCGCCCAGGGGCACACCCGGTCCATGGTCGGACGGTCGGCCTGGACTTCTGCTGTCAGGCACCGCTTCAGCCGAGATATATGAAGGAGCAAATGTGATCTGAAGGACGGAAGAATCGACTCAGAATTCCTATGACATTTCGGATCAGGCGTCCTGGTTGCGGCATGCTTTGGTTTATAATGGTACCGCGGCATGGGACTCGGCGTCCGTTTAACACCACTGTCCGCTTTTTGTCGCCATGTGTGGGGATTTGCATCTCTTTTAGCGCCATTAGCCCAGTAGTTGGCTAGGTACACTATACTGTATATATATATATATATATATATATATATATATATATATATATATATATATATACTGTAAGAACTAAATCACCAGAATGCCGGAGAAAATACAAGACTCTGCTCCGGAAACTCTAGTCCCCTGACCCCTAAGTTTAACTGACTAATCAACTTTAGAAAGTTCAGCTTGTGCATGACACCCACGTGCAGACCTTAACGCGGTTAAGGCGACTAGCACCGAGTCACGTCAGTCTCTGTGGTTCTGTCTCCGAGGCGCCACAGCTGGCTCAGCAGCCGACCCCGGCAACCAATTGACCGACGCACACATCGACAAAGCGACCAGAATGTCGTCTGATCTACATTCAAAGCTGCGGGGATTGACCGCAAAGTTGGGAGAGAAGGGAGGGGGGGGGGGGGGGTTAAACAGAGCTGGTGATCCTCTCACTGACCGGAGACCAACCAACAAGATTCGACGCACGGCTCCGCAGCAGCCCGCTTCTTTATTTCTCGTCGAATAATGCCGTGATACAACTCCGCCCCGTATGTACATGCTGACAGACCATGTGGCCACGGCCCCGCCCCGTGTCCAAGTGCTGACAGACGTCGTGCTCGTGACCTCGCCCCGTATTCACGTGCTGACAGACACCGTGATCACGACCCCGCTCCGAGTTCACGTGCTGACAGACGCTGTAATCACGATCGTGCCCTCTGTTCACATGCTGACAGACGCTGTGATCACGACCCGGCCCGTGTTCACATGCTGACAGACGCCGTGATCACAACTGGACCGTTCCTGTTCGCCGGCGCGGCGGTGCTGCTGACTGCTGAGATCTGCTACGCTGTGGGTCACCTGTTCCGCCGCCGCCGGCTACTAAGCTTCGTCGGTGGCGTCAACTTTATTCTGGCCGGTGCGTGCTGCCACGCCGGTAGAGGTTCCTCTGGATAGCGCGCCGCGGCGTCGATGGTGTTTGCGTGTTCAGTCAACGGCGGCTTTTAGGCGTCTCCGGAGAGCAGGGAACGGCAAAATGCCGTTCCCCGATTTTCTCAGCGATATGGAGAAACACGGGATGTCAGTGACACCTTAGAGCGAGTTTGGCGACTCCCTGTTAATGGTGAAAACGAGCAGGCAGTGCTCGGTTGGTGTCCTCAAACGAATAGAGTCAAAGAAGAGTCATGGCCATGGTCGGCGTCACTTGCGCTATAAAGCCAAACAGGAGTCATGGCTATGGTCAGCGTCACTTGCGCTATAATGTCAAACAAGAGTCATGGCCACGGTCGGCGTCACTTGCGCTATAAAGCCAAACGAGAGTCATGGCCACGGTCGGCGTCACTTGCGCTATAAAGCCAAACAAGAGTCATGGCCACGGTCGGTGTCACTTGCGCTATAAAGCCAAACAAGAGTCATGGCCATGGTCGGCGTCACTTGCGCTACTATGGCTGGGCTGTCAAAAGCCGTTGCATATCTTACAAGCTCCGCACGTCAGCTGTGTAAAGCCGCCGCCAGAGAAGGCTCGCCCCGCGCGGTTTGGACGGGATGCGGAATTCACCAATGCCCTGTTCTTAACTAGCATAGTGCCAATGTGTGATGACTTTCCACTTGTATGCACGGCCTCGCAATGACCGGGTTTCGTGAAGGCATCGTGTAGTGGAGCCTCTCACGTATAACGCTAGCGCAGTGATGTGATCTGGCTAACATGACTTCGTGACGGCCAGCTAACGAGCATCGTCCGTCCGCAGGACTCCTGGCCATGATCGCCACGATCGTGTACATCTCCACCTTCAAGGCGGAGGTCAAGAGCAAGCTGCGCGCGCGCACCCTGTGGGACCCGCCGCGCTTCACCTACCGCTTCGGCTACAGCTTCTTCGTGCTGGTAGCCGGCTTCATCATGGCGGAGCTCACCGGTGAGATAGGCCGCGAGTGGCGCCGCGGGGTTCTCACCAAGGAGGCAGCGTCGGCGCCAGCGCTGAGGCGGTTGGCAGTCACTCTCCAGCGCCGGGCCGATGTGCGGCGATTGTGAACGCCGAGGTCGCCGCCGCGCGGATCCGGCACGCCTGTTGACTTGGTGGTGCTGCCAGCTCTGCAGTTCGGTCAGGTCGAGATTTAGAAGGCTGTTTGTGGCGGAGCTGAGGTCCAGCGCGCTACGCCGCGTTCGGCCCCGCAGTGCGAGCATCTGCGGGCAGATTTGATGGTGCCGCAGGATCGGACCTGTATCGACAGTGATACGCGAATCAGAGCGAGGGACTCAAGGGTTATTTTTCAAGGCACTTTTGCCAGATATTGCTCTAGCTGAATAATCATTGCTCAAAACGGGCCTCCGAGCTAAAACTGACGGCATCCGCACACCGAGCTCAAGATTGCATGCGACATTGAGACGTGCATACCCTGACATTGTTTTGATGTCGCTGATATGCCAGACACATTCGACCTTAAGTGCGGATTTAACAGTTGGAAGCGAGGTACTTACGCGACCACAGCCAACTGACTTTGTCTTGTCCTGCGGGCGCCTCACACACAACACTTTGGGTTCGGCAAGTCACACCAACCACGACCTCCGCACAAAAGCGAAACAGGACACGGCCTAGGAATACGGAGAAATGCGCCGTCGACTACGAATGCCACACAACCCGAAAGTGCTCACGCTTACGTTCGCGACGTGCATTTAGCAGCAAAATCTTACTGGCAGCCAATCGCCTGCCGCGGATTGCACCATATATGCCGTATCATCGCTATTGCGAGTGCATCAACGGCCATGCTGCTTTTGACCATAAGCAGAAAACAACCAGCGGAATGAAGGCGATCATAAGACGTTTCTATGACGTCTTAAATGGCAAGGTGACCTTGAAATAGTCCTCCAAATGAATCTTTTCCCATTTTCGCAGGCACTTAGTTCAGAAACCAGAGGGTTTTAGTCTTAACAAGGCATGGCTATGAACTGCATCAAGAGGTCTTCAAGATAGCTATTTTAGTTCAGAACCCTATACAAATGTGGAGCACTCTCTTTGAGAAACACAAGCCAATAGCTTATAGCGATTCTGCAAAATTATCTATAAGATCTACATGTTCCTACGCGGTGATGAGTGACACGCGATCCACGTGTTCGGGTGGAAGGATGGTTGGGGGAGGGGGTGCTCCGAAATACGTACAACTGGGAGGAATGGCCCACACCTGCGTCGCGGATGTTAACAGCGAGGACGAATCGATATCTAAAAACAGTATGAACTGAAACGGTGCGGCCATCCCGGAAAGGATGCGCTAGACGTGCGTTTGAGACCAGTATCGATACAGAACAAATACCCATTTTGGCAAGATTATAGGGACACGTGCCACAGCCCCTCATTGCTTACGCCCACAGCCGACAAAAGATTACAAGACGCGAGTACAGCTTGCGTTTTTGTTTCGGTTTTTGCCCGCTTTCTTTATGGATTTCGTCGCCAGGCATTAGCAGGAGAAGCATAGGACATAAGGCAAACTACTCTCAGAGACTTTCGCAGAAAGTCGAAAACTTCGTCGTCCTCTGTTTTAGGTAAAAAAAGGCAAAACTCACCATCATGTTGTGCGCCATTTAGTCAGATGCAAGAGCGGGATATATTGAGTTCCCAAGGGGAAACCCCAGGACACAAATTCAGCATAGCACTCAGACCCTCTAGGCCGCAGAAACCCAACAACAGCTAGCGAGCGTTTTTGTTTTGCTGCAACCGTTATCTGCACATGCCTTCCAGATTTCCTAAAGTTTCTCGCCAATATCCAGAAGCTCAAGATTTGTGGAAGGCGCCACAACTTACTAATTTGCCACGAGATAAAAACGTTGAGCTGACCAATGGAGGTTAAAGTTAAAGTGGACGGAAATAGTGTGCCGCAGCGGTCTCGAACTGATCTAGGAAACGCAAAGTTAGTTTATAAATGGTTGCAAGTTCCAGCGCGGCAAAAGCACACATTTAAACTATCACCAAACTAATTCCCGTTAAAGCTGTCCAGACTCTCGTAAAACCCCGAACCGCTTTGAGCGTGGAGTATATGGTTTGATGTAATCGCTCTGAAATGCTTGATGACAAGCGGTTTGGCTGGCATTTTTAGCATGCCGTTCATGATCAGCCAATAATCAGCGACGCCCAGGAGAACATAAGTACATTTGCTGGCGAGCAAGGTCCCCTTTGCCGTTTACCAGAGAACAAACATTGTAAAGAACTATTTTTTTTCTTCCCGAATCAGATCATCTCATTCATACGGAAGCTATCTTGTTTGGTGTTCTACACAACGTACCTTTTTGTCCTGCGATGCGAGGCATGCGGTTAGACAGTCATACAGTTAGTACGCAAACCGCAAGGAAGGCCGCACCGGTCACGCCATAGCCCGGTTGAGAACGGCGGTGTGGTGCGACCGTTTGACGCATCTCTCTTGACCACAAAGCTTGTATTTCTTCGCGTTCATATTCTCTCACCCTTCGCATATAGTGTGGCTGCTTGTGTGACCTGGTAAATGTGGTTGCGACTAATACGAACATGAAAAACGGTGCAAATTTGTCACCGCTGAACCGTTCTGAATCAGTTTTTATCGTCGCGTATTTTTACTGCAACATGCACAAATGATTCTGAAGTTAACTGATTTGGCGAAACGACCATGGATACTGTGGAGGTTTTGAAGCTAGTCAGTGTCGGCCACTCCATCATACGTGTCGTGCCGGGGCGGGGATTGTGCCTGCATGCGACTGAGGCGAGGGTGGGGGAGGGGGAGGGGGAGGGGAGGGGGGTCAAATTGACTCCCCGATGGCTCTTCCAGAATGATTTTCGAAAGGTGTGGCTTAGCAGCGCCAAACTTTGATTAGCTGTAGCTAATTGAATAGCAGGTATTTTCATGTGAAAATTAGATGTGTCTTGTAAGGTTGTTGACCTATGCCAGGCCAAAGTCAAACCATGGCTGCCAGCCAAGAGCATTTCTAAGCAATCGTTCAATGTGATGCAACAACAGAGTGTTAGACGAAGCCATACCTACCTGAGATAGTTTCTTAGCCAATAAACCAATTGAATCCAGAATTAAAAGCAATACTATTGACTTAGGGTTTGGTATGAAGGTCAGAACGAGGTCAAAACTAACTCGCTTTTTTATTCGAGAGCTTAGTTGTGTGGGGTAGCTTCTCGTGTTTACTTCAAATTCAACACGTGTCCGGATGGCTGGCTGAATACCCTTTGCTCGAGTAGGAGTCCACTTGACCTCCCCTAAGATCTCAAAAATTAAGATAGCTAGAGACACTAAATTCACTTTTATTCACAGGTCACTAAACCTCTACAATATTGCTCCTTTTTTGTCATTTGCATTAGCGTCAAAGACTACGCTAGGCGGTATGTTTGCAAAAACGAAATACTCACCCGGGTCATTTTAGGTCAGTGACCTATTCTGACCTTCAATAAGTCCATGGAACATGTATATTTCAGTCTCTACCATTCATAAATTTAAAATCAGCACCAGACTCTACCCCATAAAACCAAGCTCTCGAGTAAAAAGCAGTTAGGTTTTGGCCTCGTTCTGACCTGCATACCTGACCCTAGGTCGGGTGTGCAGGCGGTGGTTGGGATTTTGAATTTATTGATTTATTGCCGGATAAATTATATGAAATGTTTATGGTTTCGTCTAATATTTCGTTGTTGCATCGCATTGAACGATTCCCTAGAAACATCCTTCGCTGAAAGCTAAAGTGTGACTTTGACCTGCCATAGGTCAGCGACCTTGAAAGGTACATCTCTTTTTTAATAAGAAAAATCCGCTATTAAATTCTCCATAGGTCTGCAAAGGTTATCCGCGGCTACGCCCCACAGCTGGGAAATAATTATGGAAAATGCCTTTCCGGGGGAGGGTCAATTTGACACCCGCCCGAGCACTTGTTAATGGTAGCGACCGCAGCAGACATGTACCATGCAATTTTGAAGGTCAGAGTAGATCGCTGACATAATATGACCTAGGCCAGCATTTCGTTTTTAAGAATGTATCGCCTAGCGTAATTCATTACGCTTATTCCAATGGCAAAATAGAAACAATTTCGTAGGTATCTGATCACCTTGATCTTTTAAAGAGCAAAGAAGGTCGCTGGCCCCATTTACCTATTGTTTAGACCTTATATCTAACTTTACAGCAGTGCAATATGGAGTTTGACATTTTTGAGCTCATGTGACCCAAAAGTCATGACCTTGGATCTCAAATTTTGCCACAAATGAGCTCACGTACAGGGCAATCCACCCTGTAAATTTTGTGTCTCTAGCCGTCTCGGTTTTTAAGATCTCATAAGGTTAAAATTACCACCCACCTCCACCCGAGCGCAGGGATTTCACCGGCCACCCGGGCGCGCGTTAAACGCTCCTTTGTTAATACTTTTTTAGAGCACAGCAGTTGGGTGCGTGGTCGTCAACTCGCACACCATGCCCATCAGGAAAAAACCCAGCAAGTTAAAATGGGTCCAGGTAGTGGATGCGGTGGCGGAATATGTTTGATGATGATGACGGTGATAATCGTTTTTCAGCGTTTCCAGCACCGCAATGCCAATGTTTCCACATGAGCTGTTTTTTCTCCCTCACGACACCAAAGTGCTTACACTTTCAGAGGCGCCTGTCGTCTCACCGCGACCTTTCTCGGTGGACAATGACATGCATTGCCCTGAAAGATGACATGGAGCCCTGAAACCTTACACGGTTCTGCCTCACATATAACTACCATCTTGCCGTTCACCCTCCTGCGTGAAATCCGGCAAAAGTTTCGTAATGACATGGGATCTGCCGATCCCGCTGGTGCCCTTGAGACCATGTGTCACCCACGTACGTCACTCCCACAGGCATCATCGTGGTCTTCCTCTACATCTTCTGGCACCAGCGAGACTGGGAGCGCAAGGGCCAGAAGCTAGCGCAGCAGGTGGCGCTGCAGAATGGCGGCAGCGGCGTCTGCAGCGGCTTCAGCGGCGGCGGCGGGTTGCGGCGCGGCGGCACCACCACTCGCTCGCTGGACCGCATTAAGCCGGGCGTGCGCTGGAAGGACGAGGAGGAGGAGGGGGCGGCGGCGCCGGTGGAGGTGACGGGCGGTTCACCTCGTTCCTACCGCTCGCTGCCGCGCCGGCTCGGCTGGCAGCGACGTCCGAGCGCGCCAGTGCCGCTCGCGCCGGCGCCGGCCGAGTGGCGGCTGGTGCGCGAACGGCCAGAGTTCGCCGAGTGGCCGCCCCCGGCACCGAACGACGCACCGGAGTCCTGGCCGCCGCGCGGCCTGAGCGCAGAGCTGGTGCCGTGGCCGCCGGCGCGGCAGGACGCCGCGCCCTCGCTGTTCGCCGGCGATGGGGCGCCGCGCCCGCGCCTCGTGCCCGGCGTGCCCTGCCGCTGCCATGGGCCGCCGCCGTGCGCCCGGCCGCCTCCCTGCCGCCATACTTGTCGGCATCAGTGCTACCTGCCGCCGACCTGCGGACGCTGTCGTTTGTCGCTCTGCCGCGGCCGCCAGCCGGCGCTAGTGGGCGGCTGGCCGGCGGGCCCCAGACCGCACCTGACCGGCGCGCAGCAGACGCTGACGTTTCAGCAGGTGACGCCCATCTAGCGCCACCGATTTGTCGGTGGGGTGTCACCGAGTGACCCGGTGTGTCACCGAGTAGCCGGGGTGTCGTCGGGTCACGGTGTCGTCTGCCTTCCTTCAGGGATCGCTGCGTATAGATGAGAAATCCAAACAGAAATATGTGATGGGATGGTTTGTCTCAAGCAAGACTCCCGGTAATAGTTTGTTGCCACTGCACTTACGAGCGACTTGCCAACAGCTTTACGTATGCAACGTCAATACATAAGTGAAAATGGGTGACTTGCCCAGTAAACGTTTGTCCTCAACCGAAGTTGAGTTTTGTGAAGGAATTTTATTTCTATCTCACGCGTACGTATGTGCAAAACAAAACGTTCGCATCAATCTACGACTTATTTTAGCCAACAGTTCAACCTGTGCCCACCTCATTTTTGTGGACATTCCACGGATGGCAAATTTCGGAGCTGATCCCGCTTGTTTGCAGAATTTTTGTTGAGTTGTGGCTCGGGTATATCAATTAACCAGTAGCGAAATGCAGATACAGCTGAAAACTATTCGTCGATTGGGACCCTGTCGCGTCAGGAGGCCAAGAGACCACGAAAGGAGCTGTAGGCATGAGCCCAAGGTATGTAATGTAACGTTGGTTGAATGATGAGGCTCAGATCGGTGCTGTGTATCAGAAATACGTAGGCTAAATCCATGCTTATCGTGAAAATTTGACGTTGTCATAGAACAGAGTTCTCACATGAGTGAACTGATAATTGCAGGCTTTTCGCCACAGCTGAAGTGATTCTGTTAAGAGGACTTGATCAGGAGCTGCGAATTTCCTGCGTTATGAGAGTAGTTTTTCGATGCAAGGTAACAGCAATCACTTCAGGCAAGATTAGAGACTCAAATGGATTAACATGAGGTGTTACAAAACTTTTATTATAGATACCGTACGACTTTTCCTTGTGAGTTAAAGGTCGACCATGGTTATGCACTGTTAATGTACCATGCGTTTAGCAAATCACCAAAGCCGATTATTTTACTGCATCTTGAGACGTCGAAACGTTTTATTCTTTTGGGAGGTCGTTTTTGGCATCCGTGTGCTTCGCTTCAAAGATCAGGCCGTGTCTAAGCTTAAGCATGACGCGGTGCCAGTCACCTTTGAGCAAGCAGTTCTGTGGGATGCGTGTCATTCGTGACGAATGGCCTTTGTGGTTAAGTGCTAAGTTTTTCACTGCCTTCCGTCGTACTCCATGACTTTTTTGTATTTTCTGGTGATCCTGTGAAGAGATTTCCAGGTGCCAAAGTAATCACCTTGTCATGCCTTACAATAGGTGTGGCCATTTTGCCGGACACAATCATCCAACTGCAGCCTTGCCCGTACCATGACCTGTTTGGAGCGATCTGAAGCAATACACAGGTATCTTGCTCACTTTTGGCGTTTTTCTCACGTTTTGACCTGAAGAAGTCACACTGATATTTACATTAGCGCGATTGCGAGGCATCACGGCGCAATAACGGATCCAGAAACATTTTCTGATAGCACCTTTATGTGACGCGTTCATAATATGCAAGGACTTCGTTATTGTATTGCATATAGATATTCGATTTATTTTTGTCGCGTAGCCATCGAAGTAATGCTGATAAGTTTTCTTCGTCCTGCACGGTCTGACTGTTTCAAATATTTTTGAATATTGTACGACATTCCCGATGTGCCTGCATTTGGTGGAAGATGAAAAACCCTGAACTGATCACCTTGCCATAGGCAGATGAAGTTCAGACGGAGTGGATGGCAGCCTCGCCACAAGCACCTCAAAATGATGCTGTCCGCGACTGGAAGAGACATTATCACAATATGCTTACTCACAGGGAAACGCATCAGTTTTACACCAACTTCAGCGCCTGGAAGGTTGAACGAAAAAGTCGGTGAGGTTAGCTGACCGTGGTAGCCCCGAGTAGTGAGCCCTGCGCACCAGCTGACGCTTGTGGAGGGGTGCGAGCCTCAGCGGCGTGGCGACACTGCCCGGGGCGGTGACGGAGGCAGGCACGGAGGGGTCCTCCGACGACGGATGTGTGCCGCTTCCGGACGGCGGTGACGTTTCCGGCGGCTCCGATTGATGGTCCGTGACGTCGCCGACAAAGACGCGAGATGAAAGCGTTCGCTGGCGGGGAAAATGGGTAGCGATGCCCGGCGACAGGTCCCGCAGAGCCGAGGCCGACCGTGGCGTTCCGCAGATTAACGCGCGGTCCGCCCCTGCTCTGATCACTCCGCACTCTTCTGTAGCGTGATGGTACTGTCGACATCTCTCATCTCATGCTCTGATCGCTCCGCACTCTTCTGTAGCGTGGCGGTACTGTCGACATCTCTCATCTCATGCTCTGATCGCTCCGCACTCTTCTGTAGCGTGGCGGTACTGCCGGCAGGTCCCGCAGAGCCGAAGCCGACCGTGGCGTTCCGCAGATTAGCACGCAGTACGCCCCTGCTCTGATCACTCCGCACTCTTCTGTAGCGTGATGGTACTGTCGACATTCCAGAGGGCTGGTGGTATGTGGTTTAGGGAGGCAGTTTTGACTGGGCCTTTTCGGAGAATTCGTGCAATTTCGTGTTATTTGTTGGTGTTGCATCAGTATTCGAAAAGGCGCAGGGAGTGCTGAGACGAGGATAATTAAAAATCCACATCAATGAGGTCTCTGAGCAGTGGTGCAGCCTGGCTCACTGAAGTTCACTTAAATGGACACGAATCTACAGCAACGTTTACGGTATCGTCTTGCTGGAGTTAAAATAAATACCTGATGGATGTCTTGCGTAGAAAACTGTTTGATGAATCATCCCTCAAGAAAGATCGGCGCTCCCTCTTATACGAAATGAAAAAAAAACTCGTGCATCGCATCACTGACGTAGTATTCGATGCTGGTACCAATGGACAACGTACCATAACGAAATGCAATTTCCGCTGGGCGGCAAACAGAACGTGACTGCCACGGAAACGACGGACGATGGTCGGTATCCCACAGATCGAAGGGAAGAAGTAAAAATAACGGCATCTGCAATTTACGTGGATTCGTGGGGAACAGACCAAGATACCAAGACGACAGCCACAACGGCCTCGCATTGGGACGTGTGTGAAGACAGCGCCCACACACGCAAAGCGCCGCCACCGATCCGGAGCCGACACCATCAGTTCGGCCCAGTGCCGCTAGAGCCAGGAGGCGGCGCGCTGTCTGTGTCGCTCCACGAGGCGGCGGTGCGTCTGGTAGGCGCCGTACATGACGTTCGCCAGCACGAGATAGCCGAGCGGCACCAGCAGCGGTCGAACACGTCGCACCATCTCGGCCAGCCGCACGGTCACGGCTGGGTAGCGCAAGCAGAGAAGCTGCCACGCCAGCAGCAGCCGAGAAACCACGCCTGACCACCTGTTGCAAGCGGCGAGGCGTGAGTGACGGTGGCCGCAGTCGGTCATCAGGCTACACCGGCTCAGCAGCGCAGGGAACACTCCAGCAGTCATCAGGCTACACCGGCTCAGCAGCTCAGGGAGCACTGCGGCAGCCATCAGGCTACACTGGCTCAGCAGCGCAGGGAACACTCCAGCAGTCATCAGGCTACACCGGCTCAGCAGCTCAGGGAGCACTGCTGTAGTCATCAGGCTACACTGGCTCAGCAGCGCAAGAAACACTGCAGCAGTCATTAGGTTACACCGACTCAGCAGCGCAGGAAAAACTGCAGCAGTCATTAGGCTACACCGACTCAGCAGCGCAAGAAACACTGCAGCAGTCATTAGGTTACACCGACTCAGCAGCGCAGGAAAAACTGCAGCAGTCATTAGGCTACACCGACTCAGCAGCGCAGGAAACATTACAGCAGCCATCAGGCTACACTGGCTCAGCAGCGCAGGGAACACTGCAGCAGTCATTAGGCTACACCGACTCAGCAGCGCAAGAAACACTGCAGCAGTCATTAGGCTACACCGACTCAGCAGCGCAGGAAACACTGCAGTAGTTATCAGGCTACACCGGTTCAACAGCGCAGGGAATACTGCAGCGTGTTGCGTCTGTACGATTATGTCGCCTGATTCTTCGGAGGAATGAGTCAAGGCAATGAGAGGCAACGCAGCTTGCATCAGGGTGCCTTAAGACCTGATCTTAGCCCGTCTGAGACGCGTTGGTTATACTAGTTCACCGTTCAGGCATGCCATTACTAAAATCATCCTAAACACGGCTCTGCGGCTTTTACCAGTGGAAACCATCTTACGTTTTCTTGACCATCCCCTTCATCCGAGCCAGTCTCTGCCTGGCCACGCTGTCGTGAGGCAGGGAGGAACCAAACCCGGTGTAGTCCCCAGAGTCCCATGCTGCCGACTGCGAGTAATAAAACATGTGTGAGTCACAGAAGCACGCAGTGACCGCTACCGCGCTCTCCGCTCGTCTTTTCAAATCACGAAATGAAGAGTGGGGGGAAGGTGATAAATGGGTCTGATATCGCAATTCCAACAGAAATTATCAGACTGGAATATTGCGTGTCCATGCTAACTTCACGGACATCGCCATGAAATCGATGTAGAGAGTCAGCCAAAAGTGAATTTAAGTCACAACAGGCGTGCGTCACCCATGGGCTGCATTACCAATTACGCATCGGACACAGGTTGCAGCTACTAACACGAAGAATATCGATGCATCCTGCGGCATGCAATGCAAAATATCAAGCACACAGAAATCCGCATACTAGCGTGGCCACATGTGTCACCTCGTTTCCTAATCGGGAGCCCAGCTGAGCGCGCAAGTCCACCATCGTGACCTCCATCTGTCGACTGAGGTCGTGCAGACTGGCCAGCAATCGCACCACCTCCGTGCCACCTCGCGATGGGGATGGGTCCTCTGGAAAACACGGATGATTACGACAAGTCTTCCAGACTCGGCGATATTCTGGTGTCGGGCTCGTGCGCGCTCAAGTTTGCTTAGAGGAGATCTGCCTCTCAATACTGCCTCTCAATGGGGCTGAGGTGATAATCAGAGCTCAGAGCTCCTTTACATTCGGGTCCTCTTCGTGTTCACCTTTTGCACCGGTAAGCAATGAAGTTCAACATCAATGTTTGCTGGCGTCCGTGCGATTAGTTGGTGTGGTGTGGCCCGCATTTCACGAGGGCACTACATACATGACCTTGCAAGATTCCCTAACACTCGCAAATTTGATCTCGAGCTGAGGAACACTTTGAATAGGTCTGTTGATGAAAATACGAAAGAAAGTCAGATAACTGCCACGCGCCTTCTATGACATTCAGCAGATACCGTCTGAAAATAATCATATTCTTCTTGCGGAGCAGACATACCGGACCGTCTTGCTGTGGTGGTAACCTCGCTGACGGTGTCTTTTGTTTCGCTCTCACAGCGCACTGAATCAGTATCTTCAGCAATGTCTGGGGATATGGTCAGACTTGAGGTGAGTGACGAGTATGTAATGAGCGGGGGGAATAAAGAAAAGATAGCCATTTCTTCAAAGAATATGAAACAGTGTATATTCATCATACGAATTTCAAACTTGATGTACACAGGTGCGTCAAAACGAAATAGTTAGCAAGTTCAGTATCAATTACGTCGTGCAGCTCTAACCACGATGACCATTCGGTCTCATCGACAAGATACGCCTTTTAATCATCGTCAGGACCTCGGTCTCATTGAGCGGCTTTCATGGCGTCTATTCCCTGAAATGTCCGTATATACCACCCTAATGATTGTTTATTGGGATTAGCATTTATTGGACATTTATTAGATGCAACACGCACAAATAGCATATAATCCATCTGTGCACACGATATGGATTCGGATGTACTTACCGAATTCTTCGCCGGTGGTCATTGGATTCGGAGGATGAAAAACAAAAGGCATCTGCGGTTGCGGTTGGGTTGGTATTCTGAGTCCTTCTGGAATAGTGCCCAGTGTGTTTTCTTCCGCTGTTTCACCCGAGTCGCGGTGATTCGATTGTCGAGTTACTACCATCGTTTCTTTAGGTCGGTTGTCGAAAATCAGAACTCAAATGGCGAGAAGCCTAGCACATTGTTTTAACAATCTAGCAAAATTTGTGACGCGAACGTATTTCAACCACTCGCTGAGACGCAAACCAATGATTAAAAAATGCTAGCGGCACGAGTTTTTCGGCAACGAGAGCCTTCTGAAGAAAAAGCCTTTTATTATCGCATTCTTGTAGTGCCTGGAATGTTGAAGACATCGCCGAATGTTTTGAAGTCAAGCCGATCCGACTGTAGCCAGAGCGTTCTGTGACGCACCCGCGATGTCTACTCGGCAGACATTCCGTACCGTGCCGGTAGTGTCGGCGAACACCATGCCGGTGCCATGGGAGCCGAGCGGCGGCTGCAGCCCTGTATGCCGACGAGTTGATCGCTGTCAACCGCTTCAGCGACGTCGAGGTGGACCACAAGCGGACACACAGCAGCGGCCAGAAGAAGCATCAAATTTGCAGTTCGTTGAAATCAAATTTGGTGCAAACAAGGCAAAGTGGCAGATGTTGCCTTTGATACATTCTCGACTTCCATAATATAGATTCCCATGAATTGCATTTAATTGCTATTAGTGCTCTGTTACAGTGAATGGATGATTTATTCCATGTGACAGATTTTTTCACTGGCGAGTTTAATATCATACAGTGCATTGAGGTCAAAAAGCTTTCCCAAAAGCCCAGTGAGTCACGTGCGCAGGACGGTAACATTGTTACTTTAATCTGCTTTCAAATTCGACAAGGCGTCATTGAATCGCTTGCGTTCAATCGTAGATTCTGCAAAAATTTCGAGCGATTCGGTTCATTTTGCTAATTTACTGAGTCCATGCGCATCTCCGATGTTTACGACTTATGACTTTGGGACGGCTGATAATAAATCTGTACGCAGTGACTGTGAACAGACGTTACAGACAGTCAGCCTGAATTATGTGCAGTTTTAACCACAGATATTTTCATGCACACCCTCTCATGGGACGTCAAACAAGACAGTTTTCAAAAAAGAACCGAACAAATGTTGATGACATCCGGAACAGTAATCGGTCTCCGACCTAACTAATTGGTGCGATTTTAAGCGTGGAAGTGTAATTGCTTCGGACCCCACGTCACAGAGAAAGAGCTTACTGCCATGTTTACGCAGTGGAAGAGTTCGTGATTTGCCTTAGTCTGCGTTTCATTACTTTGGTAAGTTAAGTAACGACCATATGATTGCTATATCACACACTAAGTGAATACAATGACATTAATTTGCATGGTTTCTACGTCGTGCGGCTGATTCAGTGTAATCTCCCGATTCAGCCTTAACGCACGCCCCCACCAAAGCCAAAGCTCGTATTCGTGAATTCCAGGGTCGCCTTCGGCTTCATGACTTGTGAATTGCGACAGGATGACCGGAGCGACGGGTTTTTCAAAACGGCGTGTCCAGGTTATGAATGGCGATTGAAATATCGTGTGGCACTCAGCGACCGTTTGGGATGAAGTGCCCAGGACTGCCTGGACGACGTAACGGAATCGGAAAATGGCGGTGAAACTTTCACTTAATGGTACTCACTGGGCAGCAATAAAGGAGCTGCAGTCATTGAGTCGAGCCGCAGTGCAGGAGCTAGTAATGATTACATGGGCGGTGCTCGAGGCAGTGGCGATTCTTAAAGACCAGCCAGATTCCTCACATTAAAGCGAAGAGCGACAGCCTGCGATTACACACATCGTGAGTAATGCAGCATCTAATACAATAACCAGCGGGGCTCGAAATATTGCTAGAACAATAGGAATCGGTACGTTTATTTTGTTACCTTTCTTCGATGAACTCACTTCGGGCTGAAGGTAATCGGATTTAACGAAGCGTCAAGTGCACTATAGCGACAAATGAAAACTATGACGACGCTCCTAGCGATTGATAGAACAAACACGTAACGCTGTGCAAAACCCTGAGCTTTGCCCGTCCAGAGGCATGCCTCCGGTGCCTGTCAGATAAGCTGGACTGACTTAAGAGGCAGTCGGCCGCAGGGGGTCGGATGGCTGTGTGACTACCGATTTAGGCGTGAAAGACACGCAAGAGTGGGCAAGTCTCATCGAGCCTGGTCGCGATGTAGGCCTTGCGCCGTGACGACCTCGGCATGTGAGAGTTAGATCCTGGGAGGCGGTGTTTGTCACTCACCGTGCTGAATCCAATGTGACTAACATTAATACAAGGTGTGCCTCCACACCGGAGTTATGAGAAGGGACAGCTGATTCTTGTTATCAGTCAGAAAGCTAAAATATAATGTCTTAAAGGAAACAGTAGTATCTGATGGGACACCAGATGTGTGTCTGTTGATGGTCACCGAAGCCACAAGCTAGAATCATGTCAGGTGGACGCAATAATAGCTCCCGAAAGTTGGCTCAATGTCATATAACATCTGTATACAGCTGCCATGACCGAAAATACACCAACGTTCATGGATGATCACAAATGCTTTAGCATTTAGTATCAAGTGGTAATGAACTCCATCGGAAACTAAACATTCGTCGACAGATAAAAATCACGTCTCAGAATCAGTCACCAATAAGGTGGACTGGCTCCCTTGATTAGTGAGCGTATGAAGAACGGCATAATGTGGCTCGACTTTTCTTAATAAGTGCCTCCATATGTTCGCTCTAATTCAGAAAGAGCGGCACTCCGACCAACAAAAGCTCATGAACATCCAAATTTTGGGACTTGGAACATGAGTGCATCTAACTAACCTTGCCGCGTTATTGCTGGTCTGGATAGCTGGGTATTTCAACATGTGAGATCAGGTCAGGATGAGTATAAGCAGCCTTTAAGTGAATTATCTTGCCGATGACCACTGCTCCATACAAATCTGCCTTTACACGGTTGACTTTTTTGTGAAATGTCGGCTTTGCTGTCCTGTCTCTGGGCCTCTGATTTATCTCCATTTCTCGGCCCTCTGTCGAGTTTCCCTGTAGATTTATTTTTTGTTTAGTTTACCGTCCCTGCGACCCCGGCCCTAGGGCCAGCCCGGAAACTGCGCCACATGTGTCGTGTTCTGTGCTGGGCCGCACCACCCGGTAACCGGTGCAGTTGTCTCGCGAGCGCCGCCAAGGAGAGGATGCGTATGTCCTCTTCCTGGCCCGATATTCAAACCTCAAAATATAGCATCAACCGACGGATGCGTGTTGACGAGCGATCGAACGATACCGAACAAAATGGTCCTCCGGGCCGGATCTATTAGTGACTAGTGATTGGCCTGTGGTGCAAATCCGACAATTATCCGGTGAAACCGAACTGCGATAGACTGACTCTGTGATTGAACTCTGCGAACATAAGTGAGAGATCGTTGAGAACGAGGAGCGAAGCTTCGGCCTCATCGAGAACCATCGAGGGTCGACAAAAGGCGGCACTCGCCTGCTGCGCCTGTCAGTCGCTGCAGGCGATTCAACTAGAACGGCAGGAGATGGAGCAGCAGCAGGAGATGGAGAGACAAGTGGAACAGCAGAAGATGGATTTGGCAACAGGAAGGAAACTGCGTGCCATGACTTTCGAAGCTGAACAGTGTGAACTCCAAGCACGTCTTATCGAAGAGGAAGAAAATGTGGAACTACGCCCGGCGTCCATCCGAGATGCAGCTGAAGCCACACCGCTAGCGACCACTGTCAACTTGCGTGTGGAAGGCGCACGCAAAAAGAACAACAACAATGAGCAGGCACGACCGACTCCAAACGACGCCAGCCGAACGGCACGCTGGGTGAGTGGCCAGGCTCTTCAGATCGAACATTCCCGTGAGGTGACACACTCGCGCTGCACCTGGATCGATGCCTTGGAAGCTCATGCCCAGAAGACAGGTGATTCAACACCATGGAAAGGAGGTGGTATGCTCCCGTGGCGTCTGCCACGGTTGACACTGGAGAAATTCGACGGCGATCCTCTGCACTGGCCTCGATGGATAGCGCTCTTCAAAGCGCTAGTGCATGACCGTCGCGAATTATCTGATGCGGAGCGCCTGGCTCACCTCCAATCCAGCCTGACCGGACCAGCGCAACATGCTATCGGTGGGCTCCTGTGTGACGGCAGCCTCTACAGCGGGGCGGTACGAGAACTACAATGCCAACTTGGAAGCCGGACCACCGTGATTCAGGCGAACTGGAAGAGTGTGATGGATCTCCCCGCCGTACGGAACAATGACATTCCAGGACTGACCGAGTTATCGCGAGCCCTCCACTCAACAGTGAACGTACTGAAATAATTACACTACGACGCGGACCTAGCTCCATCCACGAAAGTAACAGCGATAGTGACAAAACTACCAACATCTCTCGCATGGAAATGGGGAGGGCACCTCCAAAGCATTCTGCATCGAGAACCCACGGTGACTGATCTGGACGAATGGATCCGAGTGCAGGTGTCGGCGGCGCGTGCTGTGGTCAGCGGAACGGCCGCCCAGACGGACGGCGGACGGGAAACGGGACGCCGTAATTGGGCCATAAGGCCATCAGATCGGACCGGCCGGCCGGCTAGCGTTTCGGCGACGGCCACGACCCTCCCGCTGGACAAAGTCAAGGACGGGCAGTGCGGTTTCTGTGGCGGGGCAAATCGAGCTGGGAGCTGTGAAGAATTTGCTCGTTTGTCGGTGGGCGAACGTGCGATGGCCGCCATGAAACGGGCCATGTGCTTCCGCTGTCTAGAGCTCAACCATCGTGCCCGGAAATGCGTCTCTGTCCAGAAATGCTCCGTAAACGGCTGTGACAGCCGGAGGCATCACCGCCTGCTCCACGGTATGCAGGAAATTCCACACTTCGCGAGACGAGAGGACAACTGGTCACCAACGGAAGAATCTCAACTGGTCGGCGTCGCTTCAGTGGGACGAAAGGACCAGATGCTGCTGCAGATCGTGCCCGTTTGTGTGCACGGACCACGCGGGACAAAGAAGGTGAACGCGCTACTGGATATGGGGAGTCAGATCTCTCTCATCAAGGAGGACACCGCGTCGCACCTGGGACTTGACGGACCCGTCCAGCCGCTGAGCATCAGCACCATCGACAGTAGCCAGACGAGACCCTCACGCCAGGTGGACTTCGAAATTCAGTCACTGTCATCTGA